CAAGCCCCAGGGGTTTCCCATCCCAGACACCTCAGCATTGTGAAGCCCAGAGATTCCCCCCAGCAAGGCAATACACTTACCTGAGCTATCACAAAGACAATGTTGCCCACAAGAAGAAGGGCCAAGGTGCCTTTCAGCTGTGATTGTGCACTGATGGAGATGCTGCTCCACCTCCACTTAGATATCTTCATCCTAGAAAGCAATGAAACACTGCACTAAGCAAAATCCACCCAGCCCCACCACCTGCAGCAGGGGCTGCTTTGCTGCCTGGGTTACACAGCACACATCTTCTGCAGCATTCCCAGTCAGCTGGGTGACAGCAACCACCAGTGACTGCAAGAACTTGATCCTGAAGTTCTATTTAATTAGTGGAAGGATTAACATGGTACAGGTTCACTTCCCAGCTCAGTTATCTGTCAAACCACAACTTTGCACTAATTTCCAGTGGCTGCACCTGACACCACTCCAAGCCTATCTTAAAAGAGAGCATGACTTACATGGAAGCAAGAGCTCCACAGAGAGCAACCAGAAGTGTCCCTGGATCTATAAATGCAGCACATTTAAATATCCCCTTTTACAGAACTGCTCCTGGAAGACTGAGATGAAAGGCTTTATAAACAAAAAAATGCAATTAACAGCCATTATTTCTCCTTTTCCATTTGTTCCACTCCAATTCCCACTGATTCCCAGGAAAGACGCCTGTTCTTACAGAAAAGAAACGACCCACAATTAAAGAGCAGAAATGAAGTATCTCAAGTGTCAGCCTTTCATCTCTTTCTCCATCTGCCTCATGAAAGAGAGTAACCCAGAATGGCATTTTCTTAAATAAAACCCAGCTCAAAACCACAATACGTTTTATTGTGAACCTCACTGCAAGAGCCAGCAAGGAGCAGGTTTCAGGAAATCATGCTTCCAGGCAATCAAAGCAGCTCATGTCTGTAAGAAAAAGAAAGAAAAAATATCCTCCCCTAAGCTAATTTCCCTTGAAAAGCAGCTAGACAGTATCTTTGGGAAGCAGGGGGGTGGGAGAGGTGCTGATCCTGGGGAGAGGGGCAGGACTGCAGACCTGCAACATAAAGAGCTTCTTTCCT